AGTGAAATAAGTCAGACAGAGAAAGATAAATACCATATGGTTTCATTTATATGTATAATCTAAAAAACAACAAAATAAAACAAAGACAGACTCATAGAAACAAAGATCAAACAGTTGGTTGTCAGAGGGGAGGGTCATGTGGAGATAGTGAAAGGTTGAAAGGATATATAGTCAATAATATTTTGATAAGTTTGCCCAGTGACAGATGATTACTAGACTTAGTGTGTTGATCACATTGTAAGGTATGTAAATGTCAAATCATATTTATACCCCTTAAACTAATATAATATTATATAGCAATTAGCCTATCTAATAAAGACAGAATATGCAAATTGACTATAACTCTGCGACAAAGCTGGTGGTACCCACAGCCAATAAGGAGAGAATATGCAAATTGACGCAACAAGGTGAGAGGCAGAAGGCGGCTCTGGCCAGAGAGAAGGCAGAAAGGTGGCTCCGGCTGGAATGAAGGAGGTGCGGTAGCCAGGGGAAGGAAGGTCAATTATTGCACAAATCTTTGTGCATTGGGCCTCTAGTACTTAAATAAAAAATAAAAATTTAAAAGTACAATATGATAAGGAGGGGGTGGAATAGAAACAGATTTTCCATGAGTTGAAAATTATTGTAGCTTAGTGGTGAGTACATCAGATTACATTATATTTTTCCAAACAACTTTTGAATGTATTTGGAATATTCCATAATAAAAGTTTTTAAAAAATATACTATGAAAAAATTTAAAAATTAAGCTATCCAGTGGGAGAGGTATTTACTGCACATATAACTCATATCCAGATAAAAATATGCTGATGGGGCTCTATCCAGCTTGGTTCAGTGGATGGAGCTCAGCCTGCGGACCGAAGGGTAGCAGGTTTGATTTTGGTCAAGGGCACATACCTGGGTTGTGGGCTTGGTCCCCTGTGGGGGACATACAGAAGGCAGCAAATTGACGATTCTCTCTCATCATTGATGTTTCTCTCTCTCTTCCTTCCTCTCTGAAATCAATAAAATATGTTAAAAGAAAAAAAAGAGTGATGATCAAGCCAACAGTAGATGATGGCTGAAAATTAAAAAAAAATATGCTGATGGAATGTATATTGATGCAATCACTTTGGAAAACATTTTGTCATTATCTACTAAAGGTAAAAATATGGATACTTATGACTCAGGAATTCCACTTCTAATATATACCTGTCAGAGATGTACAAATTTGTTATTGATAGCATTATTTATAAGTAGCCAAAAATTGGGAAATGATATCCATAATGATGAAAATGAATAAGTTCATTATATGTTATATTCATGCAATGATATAGCATATGCAATAAGAATGAATGAACTAGATCTATACATAAAAACATGAATGGTGTTTATTAACATAATTTGAATTCAAAAATTCTGTTGGATAAGTAACGCTTCATCTGCTTCCACAAGAGTGTCCACAGACTTATATGTGACTGCCTCGCTTAGAATGTTATTAAGAATATTATTAAGTTGGTAGACGTCTTTGTTCTTGGCCAAAGGAATAGCTCGTTCACTCAGCCAATCGTGATTCTTATAATTGGTTGGAATATTGGGAAATACTTTTTCAACCAATTCTTCTTTGACGTCACTAAATTGCAGAAGTTATGAGGCAATGAAATTCGTCCTGAGGTCAGATCAACCAGCACTTTTACATTCCCAATTTCCAGCAATTGATGTGAGAATATCTCAGCTGATTGATTGTTTTGCAGCTTGACAAGCATATTTGTAGTTAATTTTAACATCTTTATGTGTCACCACAAAGTATAGTATTTCATGCAAGCATTATTTCATCTGCTGGTGTCAATCGAGGAATTATAGGTAATGTTTGCCTGAAATCTCCTGCAAGCAATATTAATGTGTTCCCAAATGGTCTGATGTTTCTATGCAAATCTTGCAATGATCAATCAAGAGCCTTGACCGATTTTTTGCATTTCTGCGATACTTTTGCCATGCCGGATGCTTTGGAAATGTTGCACGTGGGAGTGTCAATGAATTGCATGTTCAATGGCAATTTCAAAGCGGAATGAGCAGTTCTTCCACCTGGTAGCAATGTCGCAGCTATTACGGATTTTGGGATGGAATTGCTGCCAGAGTCAACCTAATTAGGAACGTTTTACCAGTTCCTCCTGGCACATCTAAGAAGATTTCCCCAACCCCATTATTGACAGCTTGTATTATTTGATCATAACTGCCTTTTTGCTCAAGCGTTAGCTTAGGAATATTTGATTACACATACCATAAAAAAATCACCCGTATTGTAATTTTGTTCACGACGCAATTCTACATCGAACAAAGCAGCAGCAGATCAATTTGGTGATGGCATTCCCAATTGATTGAGAACTTTGTTCGAGATTTCTAAGCACAGATCTTCAATCATTATCAACATTGAAATGGAGTCGTAAAATTGGAAATTTGGAAATCATAATGGATCGTAAATTGGAAACAAGGAAATGGAATCCTAAAATAATTAGTATAGCGTGTGTTGCTTTTATGTCCAACAGATGGCGCTGTTTTTTTTTAAAGCATGTTTTTTTGAGATCCATTTGGCTCAGTGGATAGAGCGACGGCCTGCGAACTGAAAGGTCCTGGGTTCGATTCTGGTCAAGGGCATGTACCTTGGTTGCGGGCACATCCTTAGGAAGGGGTGTGCAAGAGGCAGCTGATTGATGATTCTCTCTTATCGATGTTTCTAACTCTCTATCCCTCTCTCTTCCTCTCTGTAAAATATCAATAAAATATATATTTTTTAAAAAGCATGTTTTTGCCTGTCACAGGTGTGACATCTATAGCATAGTAGGTATGAGGTATATAAAAACACCCGCCTATTCGAATGCAACGTTGTGTCGAAATTCCAAAGCAATCGGCGAAGAACTTTTGTAGATTTAAGATTTTGAACAAACGGACATTTACATTTTTATTTATGTAGATTGCAAAGTCAAGGTTATCAGGTATGTTATCCTAGATACAAAAAGACAACATACAGGCTTAGTTAGAGTGAAGATTGACCTTTGTTAGGGAAAAATACTGTCTTTAGGACATGACTACCCACCATGAACCACTTTTAGTTTAAAAGTTTTAATTTCAGTCCATCATATGGTTACTTTAGGTCTCTTGAGCTTGTCAGGTTAGCACTGGCCCATTTTTGTCCATAGTTTCAAGAATTGAACTACAAAGGAAATGATGGCTATTACTGACTGGTGGCGGGTAGGGTGGGGGGAGACTATTACCTTTCTGTTCTTGTGGCTCAGAAGAGAATGACTAATCCTCTCTATCAACACAGCCACTGAAAAAGTAACAATGGTAATATGACTATGGGAAGATGCAGCCCTTCTCTGGTAATCAGAGAAAGGCAAATTTTATCCACAGAAAGAAGGGGCCCTGCGGAGGGCTGTTTCTCTGTTTTCCGTGTCCATCATGGAAAATGACAGGTTCCTGAGTGGGGGAGCTGGGGATTAAGAAATTAGAGAAAGAAGAAAGAGACATGGAGGCAGAAATAGATTCATCAAGCTGGGCACTAGGTGGGCGCCATCTCTCTGATGGAGAGGCAGCAAGGCGACCCCCAAGCCACACATGTTTATTTATAGGGTCAAAGGAGCTTATTTGCATTCTTAACTAGGCTCTAACATTACTGGATTTACATATCTAGACGCCCCTCTGCTGACACCTGGACAAAGGTACTCTGCCAGTGCCTCGGGATCAGCTAACAATTTAAAGAATGTCCATGTGCCTTCTCAGGAGGCCCTCTACAGGGCCCCTTTTATCTTCTGGTTTTAAAGATGAAAAATATGAGTAAAAGGACCTGGTGTGGTGGGGGGTGGGAAGTTGATTAACCATTCTACTTCTGTAGCACAGCTGGTGGGAGGGGAAAATGGGGACCAGAGTTGGAGGACAACATAATCCTCACGTGACCAAGAGCAGACGTAAAGTTCCTATATTCCCCAGCTTCTTTCTCCTCTGGGTACCAGCTTCTTACTGCCCTGCAGGTGTTGGTGCTTGTGGCCAAGAGAAGAAGGACGGAAATTCCTTATATCCAAGCAGGTTGGTGTGAGGGAGCCGTTGGTCCCCCTGGGATGGTAATGGCTGAATCTAGTAGCTTTCCCCAAACCTCTACAGTCTCATCAGAAAAGGGGTAGGAGGGGAGGCTGAAATAAGTGGAAGTCTCCTGGAAGACACTCAGAGATTCAATGACAGTTTAGAAATAATCAGCTTCTCTCAGATCGGTAAGCTTTCTTTTCATCCATATCCTTCTTTCTCCAATTCTGTTGAAGGAAATGAGGTGTGGGCTGGTGTGTGGGGAACAGCTGGAATTCTGGGGCACAGACAGAGAAATTTAGAGATAAATATAAAGTAATTCATCTCATTCAATGTCAGCCTGAGAGGGTTGGGAGGGAGGGAACGGTGGGCCTTGCAAGGATTAGGTCCAATGGTTAGGGGGTGGGGGTGCAAACAGAGATCCAGGAGGAAGGGATAGGGACTGGAGGGGAGCCAGGAGGTAGGAAATGTTGGGCAATGATAAATAGTTATGAGGGTCCTGGATTCCAGATAATAACGTTCATCTTATCGTTGGGGCTGGTGAATCCCCCAGAGAACTCTCTCTTCCCCTACTCCTTCCTTTTTGTCTGGAATCCCAGGATCTGGGTTCACAGACATCTCCAGGCAAGAAAAAGATGAAGAAACTATCCCTATTTCTAACATTTCAGAGAAGGAGGGAAATACTTAGACCTGGGTCTCTGAGGGTGGGAGTTGGGAAAGTAGAGAGCTATTAATTTGCAGGCTCACTGCTCACGCTTGGTCTGCCATTAGCCTTGTCTGTTGGATAAATGGTGGGTGGCTGAGGGAGGGGAGGTTTGGGAAGCGGTGGAATCTTAAACTTCTGAGCGCTGGACCTGTTTGGCAGAGGTGGGGAATGAGGTGAGCATCTTCCTTCAAAGAGAAACTGACAAGCAATTTTACTCTACACTTTCTCCCCGGACTTAAGCAGGAAACAACTACATCATGCAAAAACCCTGCAAAGAAAATGAAGGGAAAGCCAAGATCCCTGTGCCAAAGAGAGAAGAATGCCCCGATGGAGAATTTGAACGCCAGCAAACTGAAGGGAATTTTAGGCAAAGACTGCTTCAATCTCTCCAGGAACTTAAAGAGTACATAGATTATAGGCATTTTAATAATGAAGAAATGACAAGAGAGGGAGATGAAGTGGAAAGGTGTTTGGAAGAGATAAGGGGTCTGAGAAAGGAGTTTAGGGCACTGCATTCTAACCATCGGCATTCTCGAGACAATCCTTATCACATTTGATGCATTTCCCCCCTGAATTCAATTATTTTATGTTATTAATATACCTACCACTAGGTTCTTTTGGTGTGCATTTTCTTACTAAATGGTTGCTATCATTTTACTCTAATTCTTCAATATTCCTTTGATTTACATATGACTCTTGTTACCAACATCTCATCTTTTGACTGTCTCATTCATTTAATAGGATGTCTCATTCATTTGCATGAGAAGATGCTCATTGAATATTGTAAAGTGGAAAAATACATTGTAAAACATTATATACACACACACACACACACACACATATATATGCACGCATATAACGACAATTTATATGCAATATAATGCAAAAAGTTTGAATTATTATACAGCAAGACATTAATAGTGACTTTGTGTAATCTGTACTTTATTTCTTTTATTTAACCTATCTGTATTGTCTCATTTTCCAAAAAAAGAATATACACTGAGTGGCCAGATTATTATGATCTCTGAACGCATAATAATCTGGCCACTTAGTCAGTGTGTGTGTGTGTGTGTGTGTGCGTGCGTGTGTGTATTAGAGGCCCAGTGCATGAATTTGTGCATGGGTGAGGTCTGGCCAGCCTGGCCAGGGGGAGAGGATATGGGCAGTTGGCTGGCCTTCCTTCTGAGCGAACTCCTGGTTGAGGGGACAATTTGCATATTAGCCTTTTATTATACAGGATATACAATGGGTGGACAGATTATTATGCATTCAGAGATCATAATAATCTGGCCACTCAGTGTATTTTCTATAGTTTGAACTTACCTTACATTACTCAAACCATTCCTCTGTTAATTAACATTCAAATAATTTCTATGTTTTGCCCATTTAAAGCAATTCTGCCTGCTTATATAGATATCAAATTAATGATATTTTTATTTCTATGAAATAGATTCTGGAAAGTAAGAATTATTAATAAAAAAGTATGTGTTCTCTTACATTTCCTAGCTTCCTTTGCACATATGTTGGGCCTATCAAATGTAATATAAGACACTTCTAATGCTTATTAACAAGGCTGGGTGGTCTCTCCACTCTCCTTTCAGTAACCCTGGGTACCTATGTGCCATCTGGAACACATGACTATGCCGGGTTACCAATGGCAGCCTGGAACCCTTGGGCTGTGTCAGGCGCTGCCCACCTGCCCTAGTCCCCAGTGGCTGCATGGACACTGCCAGAAGAGTCAGACACAACCCACCAGGCCTGCTGGACCCCAATGGCTGCCTGGACCCCTCAGGTGGAGTCAGGTGCTGCCCTCCCAGGCTGCCGGACCCTAATGGCTGCCTGGACATCACAGGCAAGTCAGGGGCTGCCTGTTCCTCCTGCATATTCAAATTTACCCTCCATCATTTTTTGCTTAATTTGCATATCACTCCTGATTGGCTGTGGGTGTAGCAAAGGTAAGGTCAATTAGCATTTTTCTCTTTTATTAGTGTAGATACACTGCTGTCCCTGTTGTATTTGGAGTTCAATTCAACCTCAAGGAATAAAGTCTTACTTTCAAATTTAACTATATCCAGTATAATTTTTCTTTGACAGCACATTTTGTAATTTTTGTTATAATCTCTACAGTTCAAGTAATATATTTTAGCTTCCTTAGGTACTGATTCACCTCCCTTCATCCACTCATTGTTTTCATTGTTGCTATGATAGTGAAGCCTATTTCCCCCACTATGTGAACCTTTTCATGTCACCCCTCAGAGGGTGCAAACTTAGGCACCTACACAGATATCCTGAGGTAACAGTGGATTTTAACAACACTGTTTTTTGTTTGTCTGTTTGTTTGTTTTTACTGTCTCTTTTCTCTGTTGCTTTTAGCAAAGTCCTGAGACAAAATGCTCAAAAGTCTGATCACATTAAATTCAGTCAGAGACAGTTTTTGAGGCCAATATTTGAAATTCATTCAATCCTCTAGTCTGCTTTTAGGTCTCTGTATAATATTTTTTATTTCAGTCAGTGTATGTTTAATTTCTAGTTGATCCTTTTTCATATCCTCAAGGGTCTCGTTAGCCTTTTCTAGGAAATTCTTGAAAAACCTTATGACCATAGTTTTGAACTCTATATCCAGTCGTTTACTTTTCTCCATTTCCTTCATTTGTGACCTGCCTCTTTGTCTCCGCATTTTGGCTGCTTCCCTGAGTTGATGGAATGGCTTCATGCGCTAGGTTTCCTAGCAGGGCCCAGTGGCTCAGCCTCCTAAGTTACCTGAGGTGGACACTCTTGGTGCTCCCCTTTGTGTACTGTGTGTACAGTCTTATTGTAGTTAAGCCTAGATTGTTGTTAGTAAAACTGGGGGGCTGGGGGAATTGAACTCCAGGCCAATTGGCTGTGAGGATCAGCTGTATCTCTGCTGCAAGAGCTTCTGTGCTCAGCTTGGATGGGGCAGAGTCTAAGGGTAGAGCAGACAGCCTTGGTTTCCCATCAGCCCCACCCTAAGAGGCCCCTATGTCTCAGTGTCCCGCATTAATGGCTGCACGCACCTCTGAGAGATGACTGTCCTCAAGTTTCGCCTGCTGCCAGACAGTCCAGTTTCTTCCCAAATGAGTCTGGGTACCCAAAATCTCACCCGGAACTGGATTTCAGTGCAGTCGGGAGGTTTTGTTTCCCTCCAAAACGAGAAAGCTAGTCTCGTGCTTGCTGCTCACCCTCTTCGAGTGCCGCAAGTAAGCCAGCCACGTGTTTAGCCACCCATCCTTTCCGCTCGTGCGCGTCTCCGCACCTCTGTCCTTCACAGCTACTCTGGGTCTCAGTGTCCTTTTATCTTTCCTTCTAGTTGTAGAATTTCCACTCAGCCGGCTTTCCTGTGGTTCTGGACCATGTCCTCTCTGTCCTCCAGTTACAGGTTTCAAATTGTTGTGCAAGGCAGCAGTATAGGTGTTTACCTATGCCCCCATTTTGGTTTCTCCTCTCTCTTTTTTTCTTGATCACTTTTGTTAGAGTTTCATTTTATTGGTATTTATGTAGAATCACTTTTTTGTTTCTTTCTTTTGAATGTTTCATTTTTCTGATTAATTTCTATTCATAAATTGTTTCTTTTTTCCTCATCCACTGGGATCCCACTTATTTTCACCCAACTCCCTCCACTAACAAGGACTGTTGTCAGTGGACAGGGACTGAGGCTGCCTTGGGCCCCGTGGATTAGGGGCAGGAAGCCAGCCCAGGGAGAGCCTGCACTTACCCACGGGTCCTGGCCTCCCACAAGCACACTTCATATCTTCCCTCCCAAGACCAAAGTCTCCCTGGCCCACAAACTCGATAACAGAAATTCATAATTGTTTTTTGCCTTAAGAAATGTGTGGATTTATATTAGTTCTTTCCCAAAATTTTATTTACAAACAAACATATTATTGATATTTCCAGTCTTTTTTCTTTTCTAATAGATGCATTTAAAGGCATGAAATTTTTTGGTAAGTACAGATAGCTGCATCCATGGGTTTGCAGGTGTTATGTTTTCCTTATCACTGATACTAAGTCTGGTTGTCATTTCTGTTTTTACCTATGAATTATTGAAAAATGTATTGACTAATTTCCAAACATCTTGAGATTTTCTTATTAATATCTATGTCATTAATTTTTAGCTTTATCCATCAGTCATCAGAGAACATATTCTGAATTACTTCAGTACTTTGAAATTTCCCAATAATTGGTTAATGGATCTAGAGGAAGGTCAATTTTAGCAAATGTCCCATTTGCCCTTGAAAAGAATTTATATTCTGCATTTGTAGGTTGTATTTCTCTATGTAAATAAATTAGAATAAATTTGTTAATTTTGTCACTTAAATCTTCAACATTTCTACTGATTTTTCCTGATTCTTCTATCAATTATTTATGTCCCACAATAACTTTAGATTTATCTGTTTTTCCTTTTATTTCTGATATTTTTGTATTTTATATTTTGAATCAATGTTACTAGATGCATACAGATTTAAAATTTTATTATCTGCCCATTAGATCGACCATTTGTCATTATAAAATATATTTCTACCTCTAGTAATATTTCCTGATTTAATGCTTGCCTTGTTGGCTATTTTCATAACTGCATCAGCTTTCCTTTGATTATGACATACATATATGTTTTTTCCATATTTTGATTTTCAATCTTTCTGTGTCCTACATTTAAGTTGTGCCTTCTTAAGCAGCGTATGACTTATTATTACTTATCCAGTCTCATTTGAAGTATTCATTCCATTTATATTCACTCTAATCATTGATATACTTGTGTTTGTGCCTCTCATCTTACTATTTGTTTTTTATTTAACCCTCCTGTTCTATGCTCCTATCAAATTAAATTAGACCACAAGGCCAGAGAGGAAACTTGAGTATCCCCTAAACTTTTGTTCAAATTTATGTGCACATACAAGTATGTGTGTGGGGTGGGGATGGATGTATCCATTTCTTCAAGGTGTATGCATGTGCTGATGAGAAAGTTTATATTCTCATTATTTTCAGAAGGAGGTTTGTGATATAAAAAATGAGGGTCACACAGCTAATAAGAGGAAGAATATGGATTTGGTTCTAATGCCTGGACTCTTAGTAAGAGAGCTATACTGGGGCTATCATGGGTAAAATTTTGATATCCTTACTGATACATTTATGATAAAATAGATAGTTACCAAAAACATATTATTCTTTTCCACTATGATTATGAATTTTTCTACATGTCTTTTTATTCTAATTTTATTTTATTTTTAGGTGTATATAAATAAAGGATTGATTTTTTAAAAATCGAATTTCCTCTTTATTTATATACTAGTAAATGTTCATTGCCTTGAATTCTACCTTGTTTGATATTTTAACAGCACTACAAGCTTTCTTATAGATACAATTTACATAATAACTTTTAACATTCAGCTTCATTCTTTCTTTTACATTCATTGTCTATCTTATATAACCATCTTATCATTTTATTCTTGGAATTGTAAGGACAGAGTGGAGATTTAGGTGTGCCTATAACTGACATATTCCAACTCTTGGACTCTTACAACCTGAACTATAATGTTTCCCTAAATACTGCATGCCCTCTCCTCAGTCTCCATGTTCTCCATGCCTGTTCTCCTCCACTTCTGCAGCTGTCACTACAGTCTTAGTAATGAGGAAACACGATTCCACATTTAGGTCACAAATTGCTCTCTGACCCTATAGATGCTTATCTACTTCTCTAGTGGAGCTCTCCTCCTGAATGTTCCAAGGGTATCTCAGTCTAAACAG